GGATCCAAGGCCCAGTGTCCCCATCACTGCAGTGGGGTGACACAGGGATGGGATGGGACTGCAGGACCAGGATGGGGGCTGGGATGGGACCATGGGGCTGGGATGGGACCAGGACCCCAAGGCCCAGTGTCCCCATCACCAACAGGGGGGTGACAATGGGGATGGGAGGGGACATGGGACCGGGATGGGGGCTGGGATGGGACCATGGGGACCAGGGCGGGACCAGGACCCCAAGATCAAGCATCCCCATCACTGCAATGGGGTGACACAGGGATGGGAGGGGACATGGGACCAGGACAGGGGCTGGGATGGGACCATGGGGACCAGGATGGGACCGGGATCCAAGACCAAGTGTCCCCATCACCAACAGGGGGGTGACAATGGGGCTGGGATGGCACAATGGGGCCATGGAGACTGGGATAGGAGTGGGACCCCAAGGCCCAGTGTCCCCATCACTGCAATGGGGTGACATGGGGATGGGAGGGGACATGGGACCGGGATGGGGGCTGGGATGGGACCATGCAGCTGGGATGGGACCATGGGGACCAGGATGGGACCATGGGGACCAGTGTGGGACCGGGATCCAAGGCCAAGTGTCCCCATCACTGCAGTGGGGTGACACAGGGATGGGAGGGGACATGGGACCAGGACAGGGGCTGGGATGGGACCATGGGGCTGGGATGGGACCGGGACCATAAGGCCCAGTGTCCCCATCACTGTGATGCAGTGACATGGGGATGGGAGGGGACATGGGACCGGGATGGGGGCTGGGATGGGACCATGGGGACCAGGATGGGACCGGGACCCAAGGCCCAGTGTCCCCATCACTGCAATGGGGTGACACAGGGATGGGATGGGACAGCAGGACCAGGATGGGATCTGGGATGGGACCATGGGGCTGGGATGGGACTGGGACCATAAGGCCCAGTGTCCCCATCACTGCAATGGGGTGACATGGGGATGGGATGGGATCACAGGGACCAGGGTGGGACTGGGAGCCACCCCATGGCCAAGTGTCCCCATCACTGCAATGGGGTGACACAGGGATGGGATGGGACATGGGACCAGGACAGGGGCTGGGATGGGACCATGGGGACCAGGGTGGGACGGGGACCCCGAGGCCCAGCGCCCCATGGCAGCAGTGGGGCGGCAGGAGGGCAGACGCTGCTCACCAGGGCGCACAGCGGCACAGTGGGGTCCAGCCCTGCCTGGCGCTTCGCCTCCTCCACCATGGCCTGGATCCGCTCCACGCACAGCTCAGTGCCCACCAGCTGGGGGGGGGGGCGGCGTTGAGACCCCCCCCCCCTCGGCACCATCGCCCCCATCCATCCCCACCCCCCCCCCCCCCTGCTGACCCCCCCCCTGCTGTTACCCAATGGTTGGTGCAGAGCCCTTCGGTCTCGGCCAGGATGCGGCCGTCGGCGCCCACCAGCACGGCCTGGGAGTGGGTGCCCCCCCTGTGGGGAAGAGGGGGGGGGGTGGGTGGGACCCCCCCTCTGTGAGGCTCAGTGACCCCTGGATGGGGGGGGGGGGGGTCATGTTGGGGGGAACCCATAAGGATATGGGGTGGAGGGATCCATAGGGGGGGGGTCTGCTATGGTGGAGGGAGCTGTGGGTCATGGGGGGGAGATAAAGGGTAGGGAGGGGTCCCATGGGTGGGGGGGGGGCACCTGGAGTGGGGGGACCCCAGGGTGGTGGGGGGTGGGGGGGTAGCCTAAGGGGGGGGTGGTGTGACTCGGGGGGGGGCATGGGACATGGGGGGGGGGGAACCCATAAGGATATGGGGTGGAGGGATCCATGGGGGGGGGTCAGCTATGGTAGAGGGAGCTGTGGGTCATGGGGGGGGGGATAGAGGGGGAGGGGGGGTCCCATGGGTGGGGGGGGGCACCTGGATTGGGGGGAACCCAGGGTGGTGGGGGGTGGGTGAACTCGGGGGGGGTCCTGGGACATGGGGGGGTGGGATTAGTCCAAGGGGGGGGGGAACCCATAAGGATATGGGGTGGAGGGATCCATGGGGGGGGGTCTGCTATGATGGAGGAGCTGTGGGTCATGGAGGGGGGGGTATAGGGGAGGGGGGAGGGGGGGGTCCTATGGGTGAGGGGGGGCACCTGGAGTGGGGGGACCCCAGGGTCGTGGGGGGTGGGGGGTAGCCTAAGGGGGGGGGGTGTGACTCAGGGGGGGGGGCATGGGACGGGGGGGGGGATTAGACCATGGGGGGGGGAACCCATAAGGATATGGGGTGGAGGGATCCATGGGGGGGGTCAGCTATGGTGGAGGAGCTGTGGGTCATGGGGGGGTAGAGGGGGGGGGATAAAGGGTAGGGGGGGGTCCCATGGGTGAGGGGGGGGCATCTGGAGTGGGGGGAACCCAGGGTGGTGGGGGGTGGGTGAACTCGGGGGGGGTCCTGGGACATGGGGGGGTGGGATTAGTCCAAGGGGGGGGGGAACCCATAAGGATATGGGGTGGAGGGATCCATAGGGGGGGGTCTGCTATGGTGGAGGAGCTGTGGGTCATGGGGGGGGGGGATAGAGGGGGGGGGTCCCATGGGTGAGGGGGGGCATCTGGAGTGGGGGGAACCCAGGGTGGTGGGGGGTGGGTGAAATCGGGGGGGGTCCTGGGACATGGGGGGGCGGGATTAGACCAAGGGGGGGGGAACCCATAAGGATATGGGGTGGAGGGATCCATGGGGGGGGGGTCTGCTATGGTGGAGGAGCTGTGGGTCAAGGGGGGGGGCAGAGGGAGGGGGGTAGAGGAGGGGGGGTCCCATGGGTGAGGGGGGGCACCTGGAATGGGGGGAACCCAGGGTCGTGGGGGGGGGGGGGTGACCTCGGGGGGGGGTCCTGGGCCATGGGGGGGGGGGTTCATGTGGGATGGAAGGACCCCTGGCGTATGGAGGGGGGGATTAACCCAAAGGGGGGGGGGGTCACCTAGGGTGGGGGGCACCCCTGAGTCAATGGGGGGGGGTCAATGGGTCACCTGGATGTAGGGGGGGTCAGCTATGGGAGAAGGGGCTGGGGGTCACGAGGGGGGGGGGGCACAGAGGATGAAGGTCACGTGGGATGGGGGGGACATGGGGGGGGGATTTAACCCAAGGAGGGGGGGGCAGCTGGGGTGGGGGGACCCCAGGGTGGTGGGGGAGGGATGAACCGGGGGGGGGGGCTGAGTAAATGGGGGAGGGGGGGGGTTTAGCACTGGGTGGGGGGGGGGTCAGCTGGGATGGGGGGGGGTCCCAAGGGGTGGGGAAGCCACACTGGGGGGGGGCCGTAGTGATGGGGGGGGGGGGGCTCCCATCTCATCCCCCCCCCATCCATTCCCCCCTCACCCCTCCACGCCGCCGTACACCGCAGCCATGGCGGCTCCGCCCCGCCTCCACCGCGACCCGGAACTGAGCGGCTATGGGGCGGGAATAGGGGGTAATAGGGGCGGCTATGGGGCGGGAATAGGGGCGGGTGTGGGGCGGGAATAGGGGCGGGAATAGGGGAGGGTATGGGGCGGGTATGGGGGGGGGAATAGGGGCTGGTATGGGGCGGGTGTGGAGGGGAATAGGGGCGGGTATGGGGCGGGAATAGGGGGGGAATAGGGGCGGGTATGGGGCGGGAATAGGGGGGGAATAGGGGGGGAATAGGAGCGGGTATGGGGGGGGGAATAGGGGAGGGTATGGGGCGGATATGGGGCGGGTATGGGGGCGGGTATGGGGGGGAATAGGGGCGGGAATAGGGGAGGGTATGGGGCGGGAATAGCGGGGGAATAGGGGCGGCTATAGGGCGGGTATGGGGGGGGGAATAGGGGCGGGTATGGGGCGGGTATGGGGGGGGGAATAGGGGAGGGTATGGGGCGGGAATAGGGGGGGAATAGGGGCGGGTATGGGGCGGGAATAGGGGGGAATAGTGGAATAGGAGTGGGTATGGGGGGGGGGAATAGGGGAGGGTATGGGGCGGATATGGGGCGGGTTTGGGGGCGGGTATGGGGGGGAATAGGGGCGGGTATGGAGCGGGTATGGGGGGGAATAGGGGCGGGAATAGGGGAGGGTATGGGGCGGGCATGGGGCGGGTTTGGGTGGGATATAGTGGTGTGTATAGGGCTGCGTATAGGAACAGATATGGGGTGGCTATAGGGGTGAGTATAGGGGAGGGGGATATAGGGTGGGTATAGGCAGGGTTACAAGGAGGAGCATGGGGGGGATATGGGGATGGATATAGGGTTGGGGGGTATAGGGGTGGGCATAGGGGTGGGTATGGGGTGGGGGGTTTAGAGATGGGTATAGAGTGGGGGATATAGGGATGGGTATAGGGATGGATATAGGGACAGGGTTGTAGGGACAGGTATAGGGCTGGGGATATAGGGGTGGGTATAGGGACGGATATAGGGGTGGGGGGTTTAGGGATGGGTATAGGGTGGGGGATATAGGGACAGGGTTATAGGGACAGGGTTATAGGGACAGGTATAGGGCTGGGGATATAGGGGTGGGTATAGGGATGGATATAGGGACAGGGTTATAGGGACAGGGTTATAGGGACAGGGTTATAGGGACAGGTATAGGGCTGGGGATATAGGGGTGGACATAGGGATGGATATAGGGACAGGGTTATAGGGACAGGGTTATAGGGACAGGGTTATAGGGACAGGTATAGGGCTGGGGATATAGGGATGGGTATAGGGATAGATATAGGGACAGGGTTATAGGGACAGGGTTATAGGGACAGGTATAGGGCTGGGGAGTATAGGGGTGGACATAGGGATGGATATAGGGACAGGTTATAGGGACAGGGTCATAGGGACAGGTATAGGGACAGGGTTATAGGGACAGGTATAGGGACAGGTATAGGGCTGGGGGGTATAGGGGTGGGCATAGGGATGGATATAGGGACAGGTTATAGGGACAGGGTTATAGGGACAGGTATAGGGCTGGGGGGTATAGGGGTGGGCATAGGGATGGATATAGGGACAGGGTTATAGGGACAGGTATAGGGACAGGTATAGGGCTGGGGATATAGGGGTGGGCATAGGGATGGATATAGGGACAGGTTATAGGGACAGGGTTATAGGGACGGGTATAGGGGTGGGGGGTATAGGGCTGTGCATAGGGCTGGAGTTATAGGGTTGGGTATAGGGCTAAGGGATGTAGGGGTGGGCATAGGGGTGGATATAGGGGCAGCAGTGGGCAGCGATGGGTGTAGGGGCGAAGGGATATAGGGGGATACAGGGGTGGATATAGGGGTGGAGGTTGATATGGGGCGTTAGAGGCCCAGATATAGGGGTGGGTAATGGGGTGGGGGGTATAGGGACGGGGATGGGGGCTGATGGGTGTAGGGCTGAAGGGATGTCAGGGAGGATATAGGGCTGAGGGCTATAGGGGTGGGTATAGGGGCGGCTGTGGGGTGCGATGGGCATAGGGGTGGGTATGGGGAGGCAGGCGTATAGGGATGGTTATGGGGTGGAGGGATGTACGAATAGGTTCTGGGTACGGAAACCTATAGGGGGGATATGGGGTGGATATGGGGTGGATAGGGGGATGGATAGGGGGATGGATGTGGGGATGGGTGTAGGGGTAAATAGGGGGAGGCACGTAGGGATGCGGGATATAGGGGTATAGGGACGGTTATAGGGGTGGGGGGGAGAGGGGTGGCTATAGGGAGTGATGGCTATAGGGCTGGGGGCTATAGGGCTGGTTATAGGGAGTGATGGCTGTAGGGCTGGGGGCCATAGGGAGTAATGGTTATAGGGAGAGGTGGCTATAGGGCTGGATGTAGGGAGTGGTGGTTATAGGGGTGGGTATAGGGGTGGATGTAGGGAGCCATGGCTGTAGGAGTATAGGGGCAGGGGCTATAGGGCTGGCTATAGGGAGCCATGGCTATAGGGCTGGCTATAGGGAGGCATGGCTGTAGGGCTGGATATAGGGAGTGATGGTTATAGGGGTGGGGGCTATAGGGCTGGATGTAGGGAGTGATGGCTATAGGGCTGGCTATAGGGCTGGATATAGGGAGCCATGGCTGTAGGGCTGAGGCCATAGGGCTGGCTATAGGGAGCCATGGCTGTAGGGCTTGCTGGATATAGAGAGCCATGGCTATAGGGCTGGCTATAGGGAGTGATGGCTATAGGGTTGGCTATAGGGAGGCATGGCTGTAGGGCTGGGGGATATAGGGCTGAATATAGGGAGACATGGCTATAGGGCTGGATATAGGGAGCTGTGGCTATAGGGGTGAGTGTAGGGGTGGAGGCTATAGGGCTGGCTATAGGGAGTGATGGCTGTAGGGCTGGGGGCCGTAGGGAGTAATGGTTATAGGGAGAGGTGGTTATAGGGCTGGATGTAGGGAGTGATGGTTATAGGGGTGGGTATAGGAATGGATATAGGGAGCCATGGCTGTAGGAGTATAGGGCTGGGGGCTATAGGGCTGGCTATAGGGAGCCATGGCTATAGGGCTGGGGGCTATAGGGCTGGATATAGGGAGCCATGGCTATAGGGCTGGATATAGGGAACCATGGCTATAGGGCTGGCTATAGGGAGCCATGGCTATAGGGCTGGGGGCTATAGGGGAGGCTATAGGGAGCCATGACTATAGGGCAGGCTATAGGGAGCCATGGCTATAGGGCTGGCTATAGGGAGCCATGGCTGTAGGGTTGGATACAGGGAATAGTGGCTATAGGGAGTGATGGCTATAGGGCTTGCTGGATATAGAGAGCCATGGCTATAGGGCTGGCTATAGGGAGTGATGGCTATAGGGCTGGATATAGGGAGGCATGGCTATAGGGCTGGATATAGGGAGCTGTGGCTATAGGGGTGAGTGTAGGGGTGGAGGCTATAGGGCTGGCTATAGGGAGGCATGGCTGTAGGGCTGGATATAGGGAGCCGTGGCTATAGGGGTGAGTGTAGGGGCGGGGGCTATAGGGCTGGCTATGGGGAGTGATGGCTGTAGGGCTGGCTATAGGGAGCCATGCTATAGGGCTGGGGGCTATAGGACTAGATGTAGGGAGCCATGGCTGTAGGGTTGGATACAGGGAATAGTGGCTATAGGGAGTGATGGCTATAGGGCTCGCTGGATATAGGGAGCCATGGCTGTAGGGCTGGCTATAGGGAGGCATGGCTATAGGGCTGGATATAGGGAGTGATGGTTATAGGGGTGGGGGCTATAGGGCTGGATGTAGGGAGTGATGGCTATAGGGCTGGCTATAGGGCTGGCTATAGGGCTGGATATAGGGAGCCGTGGCTATAGGGGTAGCGGCTATAGGGCTGGCTATAAGGGGTGATGGCTATAGGGCTAGATATAGGGAGCCGTGGCTATAGGGCTGGCGGCTATAGGGCTGGCTATAGGGAGGCATGGCTATAGGGCTGGATATAGGGAGCCATGACTATAGGGCAGGCTATAGGGAGCCATGGCTGTAGGGTTGGATACAGGGAATAGTGGCTATAGGGAGTGATGGCTATAGGGCTGGCTATAGGGCTGGATATAGGGAGGCATGGCAATAGGGCTGGGGGCTGTAGGGCTGGATATAGAGAGCCATGGCTATAGGGCTGGATATAGGGAGTGATGGCTATAGGGCTGGCTATAGGGAGGCATGGCTATAGGGCTGGCTATAGGGAGTGATGGTTATAGGGGTGGCGGCTATAGGGCTGGATGTAGGGAATGATGGCTATAGGGCTGGCTATAGGGAATGATGGCTATAGGGCTGGCTATAGGGCTGGATATAGGGAGCCGTGGCTATAGGGGTAGCGGCTATAGGGCTGGCTATAAGGGGTGATGGCTATAGGGCTGGCTATAGGGAGCCGTGGCTATAGGGCTGGCGGCTATAGGGCTGGCTATAGGGGCCCTCTATGGGGCAGGGGCTGTTGGTGGGCCCTCCACCATCCTCCGCACAGCCACCGCGGTCCCTGCGCGCTCCTGCCGCCCCCTCGGCCGCCGCGGGGTTCGGCTGCGGGCCGCGAGGGGCAGCGAGGAGCTCCGCGTCGCTCCGCGTCGCTCCGACCCCCTCCCGCCTTTTGGGTTCCATCCCCCAACTTCCGGCCGCACGAACCTCCGCTCCGACGGGGGGCGCCCTCCACTTCCGTTTCCGCTCTTCATTTCCGGCTCCGCTCTTCACTTCCGGCGCCGCGTTGTTCAGCGCCTGCGCCGTCACGGCAGCGGCGGAGGGAGCCCGGGGGGGGGGAGGGGGGCTCGGGCGGAGCGGGGGGGGGCCGGCGGCGCCATGTGGTTTCTGTACGCGCTCAGCTGGCTGTCCCTGCTGCTGCAGGTCGCCTTCGTCACTCTGGCCATCGGTGAGAGGCGGCCGGGGGGCGGCGAGGCCTTGAGGCCTTGAGGCCGCTGCGGGGCGGCGGGGAGGAGGGGAAGGGGGGACCGGAAGTGGTGCGGGGTCCTTCGAGGTGCGCGGGAGGGTGGGGGGTCACGTGGGCGGCCTTTGGGTTCCCCCCCTCCCCCCCCCAAATGGCTGGGGTCCCTAAGGTCACGTGGGTGCCCCCTGGCTTGGGGTCCCATGGGTGCCCGTGGGGTCCCATGGGTGTCCGTGAGGTCCCACGCGCTTCCTCCGTGGCTGTGGGTCCCGTGGGTGACCCTAAGGGCGCCTGGGTTCCTCCATGCTTGGGGGTCGTTGCGGGTGTCCCCGGGATCCTATGGGTGTCCCTGAGGTCCCCTGGGTGCCCACATGTTTGGGGGCTTCCTGGGTGTCCCTAAAGGCCCCTGGGTGCCCCCGGTGGTTGAGGGTCGTGTGGGTGTCCCCAGGGTCCCATGGGTGTCCCCGTGATTGGGGCTTTTACGGGTGTCTTTAAGGGCCCCTGGATTCCACTAAGTGTCCCCGAGGTCCCCTGGGTGCCCACATGTTTGGGGGTCCCCTGGGTGTCCCTAAGAGCTCCTGGGTGCCCCCAGTGGTTGGGGGTCCCGTGGGTGTCCCCAGGGTCCCATGGGTGTCTGTGAGGTGCCATGGGTTCTTCCGAGGTCCCATGGGTGCCCCCATGGTTGAGAGTCATATGGGTGCCCATGGGGTTCCCTGGGTGTCCCTGAGGTCCCCTGGGTTCCCCCAATGGTTGGGGGTCCCGTGGGTGCCTCCATGGTTGGGGGTCATGTGGGTGTCCCCAAGATCGTATGGGTGTCCCTGGGGTCCTTTGGGTGCCCACATGTTTGGGGGCCTCCTGGGTGTCCCCCTGGATGCCCCCAATAGTTGAGGGTCCCATGGGTGTCCCCAGGATCCCATGGGTGTCCCTGAGGTCCCCTGACTGCCCCCCATGGCTGCGGGTCCCCTGGTGACCCTAAAGACCCCTGGGTGCCCCCAGTAGATGAGGGTCGCATGGGTGCCCCCATCATTGGGGTCACATAAATGTCTCCGGGGTCCCATGGGTGCCCCTAGGAATGGGGGTCCCATGGGTGTCCCTAAGAGCCCCTGGGTTCCCCCATGGTTGGGGGTCATGTGGGTGTCCCCGGGATCCTATGGGTGTCCATGAAGTCCCTTGGGTGCCCCCATGGTTGGGGGTCATGTGGGTGTCACTGGGGTCCCACGGGTGCCCTCATGGTTGGGAATCCTATGGGTGCCCCTATGCTTCTGTGGGTGCCCCCAATGGTTGAGGGTCCCATGGGTGTCCATTAGGTCCCCTGGGTGTCCATGAGGTCCCTTGGGTGCTGCCATGGTTGGGGGTCCCCTGGGTGCCCCTGGGGCTCTCTGGGTGTCCCTAAGGGCCTCTGGGTGCCCCCATGGCTGGGGGTCAGGTGGGTCTCCCTACAGGGTGCCCTGGGTGTTTGTGGTGCCCCATGGGTGCCCCCAATGGCTGAGGATCCCCTGGGTGTCCCTAAACGCCCCCCCTGACTGGGGGTCCCCCGGGTGTCTGTAAGGTCCTATGGGTTCTTTAGAGGTCCCATGGGTGCCCCAGGGTCCCCTGGGCATCCCTTGAGTTCCCCCCATGGCTGCGGGTCCTCTGGTGACCCTAAAGACCCCTGGGTGCCCCCAGTGGATGAGGGTCGCATGGGTGCCCCCATGAGTGGGGTCATGTAAATGTCCCTGGGGTCCCATGGGTGCCCCTAAGAGCCCCTGGGTGCCCCCATGGTTGAGGGTCCCTTGGGTGTCCCCAGGATCCCATGGGTGTCCCTGAGGTCCCCTGACTGCCTCCCGTGGCTGCGGGTCCCCTGGTGACTCTAAAGACCCCTGGGTGCCCCCAGTAGATGAGGGTCACATGGGTGCCCCTAGGAATGGGGGTCCCTTGGGTGTCCCTAAGAGCTCCTGGGTGCCCCCAGTGATTGGGGGTCCCGTGGGTGTCCCCTGAGTCCCATGGGTGTCTGTGAGGTGCCATGGGTTCTTCCGAGGTCCCATGGGTGCCCCCATGATTGGGAGTCATATGGGTGCCCATGGGGTCCCCTGGGTGTCCCTGAGGTCCCCTGGGTTCCCCTAATGGTTGGGGGTCATGTGGGTGCCTCCATGGTTGGGGGTCATGTGGGTGTCCCCAAGATCGTATGGGTGTCCCTGGGGTCCCCTGGGTGCCCACATGTTTGGGGGCCTCCTGGGTGTCCCCCTGGATGCCCCCAATAGTTGAGGGTCCCGTGGGTGTCCCCAGGATCCCATGGGTGTCCCTGAGGTCCCCTGACTGCCCCCCATGGCTGCGGGTCCCCTGGTGACCCTAAAGACCCCTGGGTGCCCCCAGTAGATGAGGGTCGCATGGGTGCCCCCATCATTGGGGTCACGTAAATGTCCCTGGGGTCCCATGGGTGCCCCTAGGAATGGGGGTCCCATGGGTGCCCCTAAGAGCCCCTGGGTGCCCCCATGGTTGATGGTCCCGTGGGTGTCCCCAGGGTGCCATGGGTGTCCCTGAGGTCCCCTGACTGCCCCCCATGGCTGCAGGTCCCCTGGTGACCCTAAAGACCCCTGGGTGCCCCCAGTAGATGAGGGTCGCATGGGTGCCCCCATCATTGGGGTCCCATGGGTGCTCCTAGGAATGGGGGGGTCCTGTGTGTGTCCCCAGGGTCCCCTGGGTGCCCCCATGGCTGGGGGTCGTGCGAGGGTCCCATGGGCATCCCCCAGGGTGTCCATCAGCTCCACGGGTTCCCCCAGTGGCTCAGGGTCCCCTGGGTGTCCCCTGTCTGTCTCTGGGGTCCTCTGGGTGTCCCCCCATCCCCGGGTGCCCCAGCAGTTGTGGGTCCCCTCTGGTTGTCACCGCCGTCCCCCGGAGGCTCCTCAATTCCTTTTTGGGGGGGGGGTCCCTAGGAGAGCCACGGGGGGGGGGGATGGGGTGGAAGTCCCCAGGCCGGGGGTCCCCTGGGTGCCCCTGATGTCCCCTGGGTGTCCCATAGGATGGGGGTCCCCCCCCCCCTGAGCCGGGCCTTCCTCCCGCAGCCGCCGGCCTCTACTACCTGGCTGAGCTGGTGGAGGAGTACACGGTTGTGACCAGGAGGATCATCAAGTACATGATCTGCGTGAGTGGGGGGACGGGGGGTGACACCGCTGTCCCTTATCTGGGGGGGGTGGGACATGGGGTGGCAGTGCTGACCCTTATTTGGGGGCCTGAGACATGAGCATGAGGTGACACCGCTGTGTCCCTCCTGGGGGGCTGGGATGTGGGGTGACACCACTGTCCCTTATCTGGGGGGGCAGAGATGTGGGGTGACACTGCTGACCCTTACTTGGGGGCCTGGGACGTGAAGTGACACCGCTGTCCCTTATTTTGGGGGGCTGGGACATGGGGTGACACTGCTGTCCCTTTTTTGGGGCCTGGGATATGAGGTGACACTGCTGTCTCCCTCCTGGGGGGCTGGGATGTGGGGTGACACCGCTGTCCCTTATCTGGGGGGGCAGAGATGTGGGGTGACACTGCTGACCCTTATTTTGGGGGGCTGGGACACAGCTGTGCCCTTCCTCGGGGACGGAGATGTTGGGTGACACTGCTGTCCCTTATTTGGGGGCTGGGACATGGGGTGACACTGCTGACCCTTATTTGGGGGGGCTGGGACATGAGGTGACACTGCTGTCTCCCTCCTGGGGGGCTGGGATGTGGGGTGACACCGCTGTCCCTTATCTGGGGGCTTGGACATGGGGTGACACTGCTGACCCTTATTTGAGGGCTGGGACACGGCTGTGCCCTTCCTGGGGGACGGAGATATTGGGTGACACCGCTGTCCCTTATTTGGGGGAGGTGGGACATGAGGTGACACCGCTGTGTCCCTCCTGGGGGGCTGGGATGTGGGGTGACACTGCTGACCCTTATTTGAGGGCCTGGGACACGGCTGTGCCCTTCCTGGGGGGCAGAGATGTTGGGTGACACTGCTGTCCCTTATTTGGGGGGGGTGGGACATGGGGTGGCAGTGCTGACCCTTATTTGGGGGCCTGGGACATGAGGTGACACCGCTGTCCCTTAGTTGGGGGGACTGGGACGTGAAGTGACACTGCTGACCCTTACTTGGGGGGCTGGGACACGGCGGTGCCCATCCTGGGGGGTGGAGATGCAGGGTGACACTGCTGACCCTTACTTGGGGGCCTGGTACGTGAAGTGACACCACTATCCCTTATTTTGGGGGGCTGGGACATGGGGTGACACCGCTGTCCCTTTTTTGGGGCCTGGGATATGAGGTGACACTGCTGTGTCCCTCCTGGGGGGCTGGGATGTGGGGTGACACTGCTGACCCTTATTTGAGGGCCTGGGACATGGCGGTGCCCATCCTGGGGGGCGGAGATGTTGGGTGACACTGCTGTCCCTTATTTGGGGGCCTGGGATATGAGGTGACACTGCTGACCCTTATTTGGGGGCCTGGGACATGGGGTGACACCGCTGTGTCCCTCCTGGGGGGCTGGGATGTGGGGTGACACCACTGTCCCTTATCTGGGGGGGCAGAGATGTGGGGTGACACTGCTGACCCTTATTTTGGGGGGCTGGGACACAGCTGTGCCCTTCCTGGGGGACGGAGATGTTGGGTGACACCGCTGTCCCTTATTTGGGGGCTGGGACATGGGGTGACACTGCTGTCTCCCTCCTGGGGGGCTGGGATGTGGGGTGACACCGCTGTCCCTTATCTGGGGGCTGGGATTGTGGGGTGACACCACTGTCCCTTATCTGGGGGCTGGGATGTGGGGTGACACTGCTGACCCTTATTTGAGGGCCTGGGACACAGCTGTGCCCTTCCTGGGGGGCAGAGATGTTGGGTGACACCACTGTCTCTTATCTGGGGGGGCTGGGACATGGGGTGGCAGTGCTGTGTCTTTCCTGGGGGGCAGAGATGTGGGGTGGCACTGCTGTCCCTTATTTGGGGGCCTGGGACACAGCTGTGCCCTTCTTGGGGGGCAGAGATGTTGGGTGACACCGCTGTCCCTTATTTGGGGGGGCTGGGACATGGCGGTGCCCATCTTGGGGGGTGGAGATGCAGGGTGACACTGCTGTCCCTTACTTGGGGGCCTGGGACGTGGGGTGACACCGCTGTGCCCATCTTGGGGGGCTGAGATGTGGGGTGACACCGCTGTGCCCTCCTGGAGGGGTTGAGACCTGAGGTGACACCACTGTCCCACATCTGGGGGGGCTGGGATGAGGGGTGACACCGCTGTCCCTCATGGGGGGACTGGGACATGGGGTGACACTGCTGTCCCTTATTTGAGGGCCTGGGACGTGGGGTGACACTGCTGTGCCCTCCTGGGGGGCTGGGATGTGGGGTGGCACCACTGTCCCATATCTGGGGGGGCTGAGATGAGGGGTGACACCGCTGTCCCTTATTTGGGTGCGTTGGGACATGGGGTGACACTGCTGTTCCCATCCTGGAGGGCTGAGATGTGGGGTGACACCGCTGTCCCTCATGGGGGGGTTAGGACATGGGGTGACACCACTGTTCCCATCCTGGGGGGCTGGGATGAGGGGTGACACTGCTGTGCCCTCCTGGAGGGGTTGAGACCTGAGGTGACACCACTGTCCCTTATTTGAGGGCCTGGGACATGGGGTGACACCGCTGTCCCTCATGGGGGGGTTGGGACATGGGGTGACACTGCTGTCCCTTATTTGAGGGCCTGGGACGTGGGGTGACACTGCTGTGCCCTCCTGGGGGGCTGGGATGTGGGGTGGCACCGCTGTCCTTCATGGGGGGGTTGGGACATGGGGTGACACCACTGTTCCCATCCTGGGGGGCTGGGATGAGGGGTGACACCGCTGTGCCCTCCTGGAGGGGTTGAGACCTGAGGTGACACCACTGTCCCTTATTTGAGGGCCGGGGACATGGGGTGACACCGCTGTGCCCTCCTGGGGGGCTGAGATGGGGGGTGGCACCACTGTCCCATATCTGGGGGGGCTGGGATGAGGGGTGACACCGCTGTCCCTCATGGGGGGGTTGGGACATGGGGTGACACTGCTGTCCCTTATTTGAGGGGGGCTGGGACATGGGGTGACACCGCTGTGCCCATCCTGGGGTCTGAGACGTGGGGTGACACCGCTGTCCCTCATGGGGGGGCTGGGATGTGGGGTGACACTGCTGTCCCTTATTTGGGTGCGTTGGGACATGGGGTGACACCGCTGTTCCCATCCTGGGGGGCTGAGATGTGGGGTGACACAGCTGCCCCCCCCCCCCCCTGGTGTTGGGGCGCCCTATCAGAGGCTGCTGGCCCTGCAGGGGACACAGGACCCCCCCTGGTGCAAGGACCCTCCATGGGGGTGGGCAGGGGGTTATGGGGGGGGGGGGGTGAGGCGTGAATGCAGCCCCCCCAGGACCCCCCCTTGCCCCCCCAGTTCTCCACAGCCGTGCTGCTGGGCCTGTACCTCTTTGAGCGCTTCCCCGGCGCCATGGTGGCCGTGGGGCTCTTCACCAACCTCGTCTACTTCGGCCTCCTGCAGAGCTTCCCCTTCATCCTCCTCACCTCGCCCAACTTCCTGCTGTCCTGCGGTGAGCGGGGGGGGGGGGAGGGGGGGGGTATTGGGGGGCTTTGGGGGGCTTTGAGGGGACGTGGGGGGGATGTTGGGGTGTAGGGGGGATTGATGGGCAAATTGAGGGGGGATTGGGGGGATGGGGGGCATTGGGGGGATTGGGGACATGGAGGGGACGTTGGGGGGTGGGGGGCGTTGGGAGATGGGGGACATTGGGGGCATGGGGTACATTGGAGGGATGGGGGGCATTGGGGGGATGGGGGCATTGGGGGGTGGGGGGCATTGGGGGGATTGGGGACATGGAGGGGACGTTGGGGGGTGGGGGGCGTTGGGGAGATGGGGGACATTGGGGGCATGGGGTACATTGGAGGGATGGGGGGCATTGGGGGCATGGGGGCATTGGGGGGTGGGGGGCATTGGGGGGAATGGGGGGCATTATGGGGGTGGGGGGCATTGGGGGGCTTTGAGGGAACATTGGGGCATGGGGGACATTGGGGGGACTGGGGGGCATTGGGGGACATTGAGATGGGGGGCATTGGGGGGCTTTGAGGGGACATGGGGGGGATGTTGGGGTGTAGGGGGGATGGGGGGCGTTAGGGGGGCATTGGGGGACATTGGGGGGATGGGGGACACTGGGGGACATTGGGATGGGGGGCATTGGGGGGATGGAGGGATAGGGGGGGCTTTGAGGGAACATTGGGGGGGCATTGGGGGACATTGGGGGGATTGGGGACATTAAGGGGACGTTGGGGGGATGGGGGGCATTGGGGGGATGGGGGACATTGAGGGGACATTGGGGGGATGGGGGGCATTATGCGGGCTGTGAGGGAACATTGGGGGGGCATTGGGGTATGGGGGGGATTTGGGGGCTGGGGGGCATTGAGGGGACTGGGGGGCATTGGGGGGCTTTGAGGGGACGTAGGGGGATGTTGGGCTGTAGGGGGCATTGATGGGCAAATTGAGGGGGGATTGGGGGGATGGGGGGCATTGGGGGACATTGGGGGGCTTTGAGGGGACGTAGGGGGGATGTTGGAGTGTAGGGGGGATTGATGGGCAAATTGAGGGGGGATGGGGGGCATTGGGGGGGGTGTGAGGGAACAGTGGGGGGCATTGGGGTATGGGGAGATTGGGGGACATTGGGGGCATTGAGGGGACATTGGGGGGATTGGGGGCATTGGGGGGAATGGGGACATTGGGGGGAATGGGGGGCATTATGGGGGTGGGGGGCATTAGGGGGGCTTTGAGGGAACATTGGGGGCATGGGAGACATTGGGGGGACTGGGGGGCATTGGGGGACATTGAGATGGGGGGCATTGGGGGGCTTTGAGGGGACGTAGGGGGGATGTTGGGGTGTAGGGGGGATTGGTGGGCAAATTGTGGGGGGATGGGGGGAATTGGGGGGACTGGGGGGCATTGGGGGGAATGGGGGGCATTATGGGGGTGGGGGGCATTGGGGGGCTTTGAGGGGACGCGGGGGGGATGTTGGGGTGTAGGGGGGATGGGGGGCATTAGGGGGGCATTGGGGGACATTGGGGGGAATGGGGGGCATTGGGGGGACATTGGGGGGATGGGGGGCATTGGGGGGAATGGGGGGCATTATGGGGGTGGGGGGCATTGGGGGGCTTTGAGGGGATGCGGGGGGGATGTTGGGGTGTAGGGGGGATGGGGGGCATTGGGGGACATTGGGGGACATTGGGGGGATGGGGGACACTGGGGGACATTGGGATGGGGGGCATTGGGGGGATGGAGGGATAGGGGGGGCTTTGAGGGAACATTGGGGGGGCATTGGGGGGATTGGGGACATTAAGGGGACGTTGGGGGATGGGGGGCATTGGGGGGATGGGGGACATTGAGGGGGACATTGGGGGGATGGGGGGCATTATGGGGGCTGTGAGGGAACATTGGGGGGCATTGGGGTATGGGGGGGATTTGGGGGGATGGGGGGCATTGAGGGGACGTAGGGAGGGATGTTGGGGTGTAGGGGGGATTGGTGGGCAAATTGAGGGGGGATTGGGGGGATGGGGGCATTGGGGGGACTGGGGGCATTGGGGGGCATTGGGGTATGGGGGGCATTGGGGGGACTGGGGCGATGGGGGACATTGAGAGGACATTGGGGGGATGGGGGGCATTATGGGGGCTGTGAGGGAACATTGGGGGGCATTGGGATATGGGGGGGATTTGGGGGCTGGGGGGCATTGAGGGGGCTGTGAGGGGGCTTTGAGGGGACGTAGGGGGATGTTGGGCTGTAGGGGGGATTGCTGGGCAAATTGAGGGGGGATTGGGGGGATGGGGGGGCATTGGGGGGACTGGGGGCATTGGGAGATATTGGGGGGATAGGGGACATTGGGGGGATGGGCGTTGGGGGGATGGGGGCCATTGGGGGGACTGGGGGCATTATGGGGGGTGGGGGGCATTGGGGGGAATGGGGGGCATTATGGGGGTGGGGGGCATTAGGGGGGCTTTGAGGGAACATTGGGGGCATGGGGGACATTGGGGGGACTGGGGGGCATTGGGGGACATTGAGATGGGGGGCATTGGGGGGCTTTGAGGGGACACGGGGGGGATGTTGGGGTGTAGGGGGGATGGGGGGCATTAGGGGGACATTGGGGGGATGGGGGACACTGGGGGACATTGGGATGGGGTCATTGGGGGGATGGAGGGATAGGGGGGGCTTTGAGGGAACATTGGGGGGGCATTGGG